TTATGTAATTCACTAATATATGTCTTTTTTTGTAAAACAGCATATTGATGCATGGGTGTCACGTCTTCTAATAGTAAGGGCTTTGAAGAAAAATAAAAAAAAATATGCGATATACAATTATGCCGACGTCTTTTCATGTAGTTCACTTGAAGAATCAACGACAGGAATCATATGTGTTGGCTAATGGACAAGCTAAACTTTATCTTGCATGGTGGGAGGTCGATAAGGTTAGTATTTATTTTTTTAAAATATTTTAAAGGTGTTCATAAATAAGTGCGCAATTTGAATTATTACTTATGATTGCAGGTGTTTATCCCTGTTTTGGAACGTACTCATTGGCTTCTTGTCGAGCTTCAGCTCCCATCCCTGAAGACAATAGTATATGACAGCATGATAAATTACATACCATTGTCTGATTTGAGAGATATTATTAAGGGATGGAGCTCTCATTTGGCTAAATTCTTGGATGCGATTAATTATTGGACTTATTCTAGAAACAAGAAGCCAAAGAAGTTCAATGTTACAGTTATCAGAGACGAGACCGCGCCACAACAAACGTCGGAAGCCAGAGGGGATTGTGGTCCTCTCGTAAGCATGTGCTTGGAGCGTTTGACGACAGGAAGTACCCAGTTTCTACCTCCACCGATAGAGATAGAGGTGCAGTAGGCTTGTGGTTTCGACATTTTATGGCTATAGCGATATATTCGAGACGCTGCCTACCTGCATCCGCGTTATGAAAGTGTCCATAAACAATTTTTAAGTCAAATTCAAGTGTTGTTAAGTACCTAGAATTCAATAATAATTTGTTGTTTGTTGGTTTTAGATGCGTAGAAAGTGTTATTTGAGTAAATGTTTGGTTTCTGCATGTTAATCCTGAAGTGAGCTGCGTGAAATTGATGTGGATAAACAACTGTCTGGGTACACTTTTTTTATTGTAATTGATTCTTAAAAGTCTGACTTGTTTAATTGATGAGAAAAATAATATAATAAGAGTTTATTTGTTTAATTGATGTGTAAATAATTCTTATTTGTTTAATTGATGTGTAAATAATTCTTATTTGTGCTTGTTTAATTGATTAAAATTTGATTATTGATGTGTAAATAATTCTTATTTGTGCTTGTTTAATTGATTGAAATGTAAAAGTTGATTTGTTTATTTCGATCTGCATCAGTCTAATACACTTTGTGATTTTCTCGTTGCGATAGTCAAATTCTCGTTGCGATAATCAAATTCGCGTTGCGATATTCATTTTGCGTTGCGATAGTCATTTTGCGTTGCGATTATCTCGTTGCGATAGTCAAATTTGCGTTACGATAGTTAAATTCGCGTTGCGATAGTCATATTCGCGTTGCGATAGTCATTTTCGCGTTGCGATAGTCATTTTCGCATTGCGATTATCCCGTTGCGATAGTCATTTTCGCATTGCGATTATCCCGTTGCGATATTCAAATTCACGTTGCGATAGTCATATTCGCGTTGCGATAGTCAAATGAATGTGTAATAAGTGATAACAACTGAACAAATCATAGCAATGTTCAAACTCGAGTTACTAATATACAATGGCCTAACTGAAAATGTTAAAAGTTTACACATAAAATACACATAATACAACGTTTGCATTTAAAAATCACCTAAGTTAATAGTCCCAAAAGGTGAAGCCGGTTGTGATTGGGATTTTGATTTTGATTGCGATTTTGATTGCCTTTTGCTTGACACCATATGAGCTTTGGATTTTGATGATGATCCATATTTTGGTAGAGGAAAAGATGATTGTGGTGGCACTGGTGATCCACATGTCAACCTTGTATGACCACTTTCCTTGCACCGACTACATGTCGATCTCTTCTTCTCTTCACCCTTAGACGGTATACGATCGTGACTTTTTGGTCGGCCAGGTAGCCTTCTATCCATGGCTGGTGGCAAAACTATTTGTAAGTCATCTGGTATGTCCCACTCAGAAGGATGTGGAATAGGGTAGATAATCTCGGCATAAGTCTGTCGATATACTTCTGTAGTGTAGCAATCCATAGCATATGCGCTTGAATCATCTTGGTTTAGATGAATAGTAACTTTTATAACATGGCCACACGGATAACCAGATGTTTTCCATTTCATACAACTACACGTCTTTGCATTTAGATCGATAAGCCCATTTAAGTTATTATCCAGTACTTCAAACAAAGTGTTTGGACATGGTTCAACTCTCCATGACGTTGACTTCACAACACGTTTCGTTATCTTTTTTTCAGTCCATGGTGTAACACGATGTTCCAATGTTCCTGTAAATTTAAATAAATAATACTTAGTAAAATGTATAATAAGTTACGAATTTAAAGAAATAATACCTGCATGGTTTCTTTTCTTGTAGTACCACTGTTGAATAGAGCCTCGAAAAAACTCCATTAACATAGTAATGGGTAATTTTCGGGAATGACGACTTAGAGCTTTGATTGATTCTGCACTATTAGGCGTCATGAAACCATATTTGCTCTAAGTTGATGTACTCTTGACCATCTTTCAAACCCGACATCTTCTAGTGTTTGAGCACACTGAGGCAAAACACGTCTTAAACAATTTATATGCTTATTAAAATCCACTTCCCGATAAACTTTTACAGCCTTCCAGTATGTCCATTTATGATTTTTTATACCAGCATACCTTGATTTTAGATTTCTATATAAATGAACACCACAAAGTCCATGAAAAACATCTGGGAAACACCTTCTAACAGCGTTGTCAATTGAGTTTGCCCTATCGGATATGATTGTCAGATTGCTAATAGGACCTATGCAATCCCTAAGATGCCCCATAAACCATGTCCATGAATCAGAGGTTTCAGATTTGCCAACCCCGTAAGCTATTGAAAGTATCCCATTGTTAGCATCCATGGCTACTGCTAATAAGTTTTCTCCAAGGTATCGACCTTTTAAATGTGCTCCGTCAACTATAATAACTGGGCGCATGCAAGTAATAAACGAACGAATCTACAAAATCATATACACAAGAAATATAATCATTTAAATGTGAAATGCATGTAACTAACAAAAATAAGTCAACAAAATTATATTGATCAGCACCAATGGCGATAAACAGCAACTCAAAGCGTCAATCTCTATCTGTTTTGATATGAGTTACCGACCCAGGATTTTTCAACTTTAAATTGTGACAATAAGCCGACAGTTGGGTAAACGATGCTTCTAGCGACCCCCTCAACAATTCCAATGCATAACATTTGGCTCTCCAAGCTTGAGAATATGAGATACTAATCTTGAACCGAGCATTCATGCAGTCATAATTTCATGTTCCCGATATACCATGCCATTCAAAAACATTAACTCAGCCAGAAAACCACCCAACACCTTTTTGTTTGCCTGTCTATGGTGAAGAAAAATTTGGGTTCTTGAACATGTATGTTTATCAATAAAAGTCCTAACTTGAAACATTTCGTAATCTTTTATCCTCTTTGCAATTATACGCCACGTACAGTTTTTGTCATTATACACCTTGTTTCGAAACGATCTTTGATTGATTTGTTAACTTTTAGTTGATAACCATCTTCCACACATTTCGTATACAAAGTTATCTTCAAGTCTTTCTTTGTATCAAAACAATCATCTTTCTTGATACGAATAATTTTTGTGTAACAATCAACTGCTATTTTTACCAACTCTTCTTCCGGTATCTGAAGTAATTCTGGCATATTCCAGTTATACTCCCGTAGCATTTTCTTCGGGGACTTTTCTTCGGGGATTTTTTCTTCTTCTTTTTCTTCTTCAGGGTTATATGAATTACAAAATGGATGTTCAACATGTTCATTCACAGTCGTAACTTCCTCCTCATTATCATCAACAACATCTTCCTCGGCATCGGCTGTTTCATCATCAAAATTTGGGTATTGATCAATATCAAAATCATTACACGCAGGGTCTGTTTCTTCTTCTGAAACATCATCAAAATTCGAGTATTGACCAAGATCAAAGTCCGGGTATTGACCAAGATCAAATTTCGATTACCGACTAATACTCACAATTTTTTCTATTGGTTCATCATCGTCTAACTGGTTAATACGAAAACTGGAATTTGGTGCTGAAAGTTGATTGAGATTTGGATTAGGGAAAGGTTGTGGGTTTTGATATTGTGTTTGGTATTGAAAATGTGGTGAAACAAAATTTGCTTAGTGATGAAATTGTGGTAGAACAATTAAATTTTGAGCACCATAAACTGGGGTTGAAAAACTTACCTGATTACTACCCGCTACTGACCCAACTTCACTACTTCTAGGTTCAACAACATACAATGTAACATCATCTTACGAAACACTAATGCAAGCAATGAATTGTTCAACATCTTCATTGTCGGTTAACAAATAAACTTTACATTTTCTCTGATAAGATAACCTAAATCCACTTAAGGGCTTTAAATTCAATTTATTTGCAACACGTAACATTAAAGTTTCACAAGTTAACTTTTTTAATGACAGTTTTAGTTGAAGATTCATAGGTAAAGACATATATTATAAAACACCATGAACATTCTCTCATGACCCTCCAAAACACAAATCTATCCAAACATGATCAACATTAGATGATTTCATTATTGTAAATTAATTTACTAAACAAACGAGATACGAAACTAAAACATGTTGCCGGATGAGAAAAGATGTTGTTTGATATAAGAACAGATGTCGTCGAAAAGAGTGATAGATGGAGATGAAATGAGTTACGATTTAGGGATTTAGGTTATGAGTTGCTTCTGCTGCGTAATTATATACCCAAAACATTTGTGTTTCGTATTGCGATAGTCGAAAAATCAAACGCGAATTTAAAAAATCACAATGCGATATTCAAAATCGCGTTACGAATCTAGAAATTGATTTATGATACCGAAAATCACGTTACGAATTATTGATCGCATTACGATTTAATTAGTCATTTTGACAAATCCAAAAAAAATTAATTAAAATCGTATATTATAAAACATTTTTAGTCACTGACTTAAATTTTTTTGTCAAATGACCTATAAGAATATTGTAATTGAAAGAAAAAAAATTGAGTTTTGGGATAATTTACTCTGATTACAAGACGAGCAAAGTTCAACCGCAACGTTTGCATTGCTAAATCTAACAGAGTTTTCTAAAGCATAAATTTTAAGGGTTTTTCTCTTCTTCTTTTTCAACCCCCTAATGAATTTTATAATCGGGCAAGCCTTAGAGCGTTCATTCTGCTGCATTGAACCGCCATTTCCGCCTCTCCTGCTCGCCGTCGTGTTCTTCACTATCTGCACCCACATTTACAATATTCAGCATTCCAATAAACCCCAACCTGATCTGATTAATTCACGATACCCCCAGTGCCCTCATCTAATTAACCCTCCACCTGTACAATTGATAAATAATAAGGTACACCACAATCTTTATATTTTAATTTTATTTCGATCACTTACCATTTAAAAATTAACAAAATCTTTAACGACAATTTTATTTATTTTTATTGATAATATGTTATTATCTTACTATAACATATCAACATTATAAATAAATTTTTAACATGAGTGATCAAATTAACCTTAAATATACTTAGGAAAAAAAAAAGTGGGTGATCACATCCATAAAAATGATAGTTGAGGTGATACGTTCAACACCTAAATAGAAATCCAAAAAATAAAACTGGTACCACTTAGTTTGGCACCTAACCTACCAAACTTTGAAAGTCATTGGAGCAGATGAATACCAAAAAACTCATAGGTGAAAATGATGTAGATAAAGTGATTTACTTGTCGAAGCATCTGATTCTCGTTGTGCAACGTGGAGAGTCTCTCTTCAAGCTCAGAGTTCTTCTTCTCCAAGTCCCCAACTCTGCTCTCCAGCTCACTCAGGTACGCCTTTTTCCTCTCCCTTGCTTGCTGCGCCGACACTCTGTTCCTCAACAACCTTTCCCAAATTTCAAAGCTCAATCAATCAATACCATCCCAATTACTCAAATGGCCACTGCCTTTCACATGCTTTAACAAACCTGGGCAAAACGGTAATATCATACCCAACAGTGGCCCAAACGGCAAATATTACCTCTTTAAGCGCTTGTTCTCTTTGTCCGCTGGGCTCCTCCCTCTCTTTCTCTGACCGCCGTCCCCCGATGGCTGAACCCGGTCCGGTCCTGTCACTGAACTGGCTTCTCGACCTGCAGACGGAGCTGCTGAAGCTTCCCCTCCTATCTCAGGCACTCTCCGGATCTCTTCGTCACTTTCCATGCCTTAAAAAAAGAATACAATCAAGATATTCAATGTAATCAGTGAAAATGCAGTTGATCTCGATGCAGTTTCTTGAGTAATTAAAAAACAAGTCTCACATGGAAACTCGTTTAGTATTAAACTTTTTTTTCAAAATAAAGAAGAAAAACATCAAGGACCAAAGATAAACCAGTTTATCTTGAAATTTTAAAAACTTAAACGAATTTACAGCTTTTTAAGAAAACTAGAACTTACCTTCTTTGACTTCAATTTGAAGGGCGGAGCTTGAAGATCTTTCACTGCTTGAGGGCAAGGAACTAGCTGCAATTGAGCTCGTTCCTTGTTCTTGCATTTCTTCGTATATAAAAATTAATAAAAAAATTATTGGGAGATATATTTTTTAGGGAGGGAGGAGTATGGGCATAAAAACGGGATGTTAATGCAAGTGGAACATATTTAGAAGAGTGTTGCCGTGTTGCAGAAAGATTATCAGTCGTTGGATTGTTTCTGAATCCAAGGGTTGTAAACGAGTAAGCGTGGAATTATAACAGCCATGAGGAGTTTCAGTAATCAAAGGCTGATGGGATGTGAGCGTGGAAGGATTGGATTCGTTGAATGAGAATTGATCAGACGGTTGGTAATTAATTGAAAGGATGGTAGTAATGCAATGAATAGGGACCACATTGTTCTATATGAGACTGCTGCCAGAGTTTACTAAGTTACGTGAAGGGATGGATTTCGGATCTGAGTGCGACAGATTCCGACTGGAGCTGCTCAAGTCAGAAAATTTTTTAAAAAAATAGGTTTAGATCGATTCAGATTTTTAAGGTTATGTACAGATCAGATTTGAGTTTAAGATAAAAATAACAAATCTTATTTGAAAAAATTATAATTTTATCTTATATATTTATAGATAATTTTAATAATACATCTTAATATATTTTTTTAATTAAATTTTTATTTTTATTGAATAAAAATAATAATTTTTAATAAATATATTATTTTGAGTTGGGTTGGGTTTAGATTTTATCTTAAAAAATAGATCTGATTTGGATCAGATTGAAGTGTAGAAGGTGTATATTTTTTGGGTTGAGTGGAGGATTTATAATTTTCGGGTAGAATCGGGTGGACCAAAAATCTAACCCGACTTATGCTCATCCTTAGTTATGTGATTAACGGGTTATCATTATTTTATTTGGTAAAGTCATTTAATTATGGTGTTTTAATTTGATTATTAATTTTGTTAAATCGAAATAATTAATTATTTAAATAGCATCAATAAAGTTAAATATAATTAGGATAAAATATACAAATGGTCTTATGGCTATAAAGTACTGTTTTAGTAAGTTTTTCGATTATTAAAAGTTACAAAATGATTCTTCGGCTATAGAACATTGTTTTGTTGAGTCCCTTGAATATTAAAAATGATCACCCTATTTATTATGTTTCAAACTCGTCATTTTTTGTTAAAAAATTGACGGTATTCTGATATGAACGTTAGCATGCTAATTGTGATATAATAAAATCCGATTCCAAAATCTCAAACGACTATCATATCTTAATTATCATGTTAACATCCAGCTTAGACAACCATAATTTTTTAACAGAAAATGACGAGTTTGGAACATATTTATTAAACAGTCAGGTGATCATTTTATAATTTTAATAGTCAATAGACTTAATAAAGTATCATTATACAATCATATGACTATTTTATAACTTCTAATAGTCGATGGACTTAATAAAATAATACCTTATAATCGGAGATCATTTGTCTACTCTACTTATATAATTAATAATTAAAAATTGAGATACGATAAGTAGGTAAATTTATGTAATTATATATATAATTATTATTACTTACATTCATATTGTAATAATAATAATTTAATTCATATAAAATATATATTACATTTAATTTTTATTAAAAAAAAGTGTATGTTTTTCTTTGGTTGTAAGTTGTTCTTTGGGCATCAAAATATTAACTGATGATTCTTGTGCGTTCGACGAGCAACGATAAGCACTAATAATGATGAGTACTGATAAATTAAATTGTAAAACGATAAAATTATAAGGTGCTCAACGTATAATTATATTTTAGTTAATAATGTAATTGTAATTTTAATATTTTTTATAATTAGTTCAAATAATAATTCCAAATTATAAAATTGTTGGGATTTTGGAAGCTCAAATGATCAACCAAAATATGTCAAGAGGGGATGAATTGGCTTTTTGAAATTTTAGAGAAAAATAGGAAAAAATTGCACAATGATTTATAGTGGTTCAACTCCTTCAACGAAGTCTCTATCCACTACCTTAGCTCCTCATTAAGGATGTAACACCCTAATCTATTTTGACCCGAAGATCCATAGATTACAATGTTACACGAAACTACCGAAATAGTGACCAAAAAATTCTTTTAAAATTGCTTAATAAATAACTGAAATATATCATCAATAATGGTAAAAGTAAAACGAGGTAATAATCTGAGTTTACAAAATAATGGGTGTCGCAATCGTCTTTCGGGTGTGTCCGGAGTTGGGCTTCGACTTGAAATAAAAGTGCTAGAGTCACCACCGATCATCTTAAAAATATTTAGGTGAATCGGACACCATCTTACCTATCTGCGTTTTACCATAAATGTGTCGGTTCTGGGAGTTGGTTACAATCAAGGAATGATTAGCATCTTTGAAATGCCCTTTCGATACCGTTTTAATTTGTCAGTTGTCTTAATTGCAAAAATTAAAATTTAAAAAACCTGATTTAAATTACTTACCTTCGATTGATTAAAACATTTGTTGAAAACATTTTGATATTTCGATATAACAAATTAAGTTAAATGAATTTTAAGATTTTCCAAATGATTTTCTAAGTATATTCGATAGAATTATTCGAATATCAAAACATTATTCCAAATATTTCAAAGATCATTTTTAATCCTTACTCAAAGTGTAAAATTAAGTTTTAATCTTAAAACAATTTCAAAATAATTTTACAAAGTATTTCGAACCATTTCAAAGCCAAAAATTCCAGATTGCTCAGAGGGAACCGATTTCCCCCTAAGGGGGTACCGATTCCCCCATGAATGGTTTGGCTCCGAGAATTCCAGTATGCTCGGAGGGAACCAATTCCCCCCAGGGGGTACCGATTCCCCCTTGTATAACGATCGAAATATTTGAATTTTGCACTTAGGGAACCGATTCCCCATAGGGGGTACCGATTCCCCCCACGCTCCAAGCTGTTTTATTAATTGTTTTCACACTAAAACGGCTATATGATCTTCACTAATCATCCCCAACGTTCACAAGTTATTCAAGGTGTATTTAAACAAGTTCTGAAGCCCTTGATTAACAAGAAATCATAGAGAAACAAGAGAGAAAGCATCAAACACCAAGTTTGTGCAAATCAAGCAAATTTTCCTTTCAATATTCATTTTGCTTTCAAAGAACACCATTTGTGCTCATTTGTAATTATTTGTGAGTGTTCTTTTCTTGTTCTAGAACTGTTCAAACATCTTACCTTGAGAGGTTTTCCTTGTAAGTTTGCAATTTTGTAATCTTCTCTTTGGGAAAGACTGTTCTCAAGAATTTGGGTATATTCTTGAGGGTGTTGTAAGGTTATCTCTTTGGCCTCAAGAGAAAGAACAAATTAGTGAATTTGTTGAAAAATCCTTAGTGTGGATAACTAAGGTAGTGGACGTAGACTTTGATTGAGAAAGTCGAACCACTCTAAATCGCTTTGTAATTACTTTCAATTTTCTGCAAAAGCTTCCACCAAATTTTTAATTGCCAATTCACCCCCTCTTAGCCAATTCCGTCAATCGATTAACTCAAAAATTGGTATCAGAGCCTAACTTATTTGAAGGTTTAATCGCCTCTTGAGTCGATTAGGGAAGAGTTATATCGATAATCAAAGTCATCAATGGCCTCCGTTTCAAACTTCGACTCCGGTCTCGACTCGATGCCCGTCAGCAAGCCTCCTTTCTTCAATGGAGCTAACTATGCCTATTGGAAGAATAGAATGATGTACTTCATTCAAGCAAGTGACATGGGAGCATGGAATGCTGTAGAAGAAGGATACATCAAACCTCTCACTCATCCAAGATTGTGGAGTGAATGAGAGACAAGAATGTTCCAGCTCAACTCCAAAGCCATCCATATCATTTTTTGTGCTCTTGGACCAGATGAATACGGAAGAGTTTCATCGTGTACAACCGCCAAAGAAATATGGGACAAACTTCAAGTCACTCATGAAGGTACCGATGAGGTAAAGAAATCTAAAATTAGTATTCTAACGCATAGATATGAAAATTTCAGGATGAAACCAAATGAAGATATCAAAGCTATGACGGATAGATTTTCAACGATTGTCAATGGTCTCAAATCATATGGAGAGATTATTTCAAATGAAAAGCTTGTGAGGAAGTTAGTCTACTCTCTCCCAAAATCGTGGCAATCAAAGAAGACGGCAATCATCGAGTCTAAGGACTTAACGTCCTTAACTCTTGAAGAGCTAATTGGGTCACTCCTCACTCATGAAAGGATGCTCGAAGATGAGGTGTACATCGACAAGATTGGTGAGACACCAAAGGAGAAGGAGAAGAAGAAAAACATTGTAGTTGCTCTCAAATCCACAAAAGATGAGAGTGATTTGAATAACGATGACGATGACGAGGAAATGGCATTGTTTGCCAAACGGTTCAGAAAAATGATGAGACCTTATCGAGGAAGAAAATTCAAACAAAATGACGGCCTCAAAAATGAACCGAAAGAGAATGACCCAATCATTTGCTACGAATGCAAAAAGCCAGGGCATGTCAAATATGATTGCCCACAATTGAAGAAAAATGGTCAATCAAAGAATAAGCACAAGGCTCATATGGCTACATGGAGCAATGAAGAAAGTTTCGATGAAGAGGAACAAGAAGTAGCTAACTTGTGCTTGATGGCATTTGGGGAAGATTCTAAGGTAACCTCTAACTCATCTGATTTTGATGATTTATCCTATGATGAGTTATTAGAGGAATATAATGGGTTGGCTTTGGATTATGAGAAATTATTTTTAAAATATAAAAATGATGTTTCAAAATTGAAAAATGAAAACAACATATCCAAAACCAACAACGATCTTGAAAGTAAAATCAAAGATTTGCAAATCAAACTAGAAGAGTTTGAAAAGAAAAATTTAGATTTGCAAAATTTACTTTCAAAGATCAATGATGATCATCAAAAGAAATTGATGATCTTAAAACTTCTTTTGATAAAGTTGGAACAAAACATTTTGAAAAAGGTGGAAATTCAAAATCCAACTTTGTTAGAAAAAGTTTTAGAAACTACAATCATAGAGGTCCCCAAAGAACCTCTAATGGAAAAATCGTTAGAAGTATGTGGGTTTCTAAAGAACTCATTACTACTAAAGATAAAAATATCCTACACA